GGGGGGGGGAGGGGGGCTCCGCGGATTTCACCCAGAGGTGAGCGAACGGCTCGATAGCCAAAAAAGGGGGAACGGCGAAGCAAGGCATTCGTGAAGTGATCGTCATCCACACGCACCTTTTACTCTTCCCCCCGTAGATTCGTCTGGAACCAACAGCTTGTTGGGCGGAAGAATGACAGCTACGATCGTTCAGCTACAATCGTGCGCGGAACAATACACCAGACCAGCTCAAGACTGCGAACACCTCGTGGCTACCACTATGCAGTACCTCTTCAACTTGAAGCATGTGGGCATTTTTCTGACTACACATGAACTGTTTCGGCGGAATACGAACACCTCGTGGCTACCGCTTTGCAGTACCTCTTGAACTTGAAGCGTGTAGGCACCTCCTGACTACACATCTACTGTGTCGGCGGAATGCACTGCTCCTCGTCGCGGCTACGACCGGTAGCGATCTCATCAACTAGGCCACAGGGCAGCAGAAACGCAGCCACGACCGGTAACGATCTCATCAACTAGGCCACCGGAGAGCGCACTCAAAACTCTCGTGTTAAGTGCCTCAAGGGGCCACCTGCCTCCCCCAAACCACCGCAGTAATATGCATGCATAGCAAACCGCCAAGCCATATTCCGCGTGAATGTCGGAGCGTGTTCTCCGCCCCGCCAGTGACCGGTGTTCGGCGGCGGGCGGGCAGCCGTGGCCTGCTGCTGCGGCGGCGGCAAAAAAAAAACAAAAAAAAACACACACACACAAGGCACATTCTACCGTTGTGCGGTGCAACGTACAGAGACTTTCAAACAGCCGTTCGTTGGTAGAAGTAGCAGCATGGGGAACACTGCCTGTCCCATTTTTCAACGCAAACGCACATCCAAAAAGAAAAAAAATGACGACTATCTTGGTGGATATTTTTAGGCAACACGCCCCATGCCGCCGTGTCACCTCTCCGCCGCTAGAAACGCCTCCCGTCCAGTTGCCGGGTTTCCGTACCCCCCCCCCTCCCGCCACCCGCGGCGCCCCCACCACCACACCGCCCGGCTGCAGCAGGCCCGCCGAAGGCTTCATGGAAGGGTGGGGGAGGGGGGGCGGCATGCCCGGGAAAAGGGGGTCCTTGGAGGGTGCCATCGCCATCGTCAAGCCCTGAACGATGTCAACAGTATGCGTGAGCGTTTTTTGTAGAACAACAGAATAGTACAGAACGGCAGTGCATTGATTACGAAATGTGATCGTGCTCGACTGACGTTGGGGAGATTGTACCCTGTATCAAGAGAAACGGATCTCCACAAAAAAAAAAATGTGGGACAGAAAAGTGGCGAGCCTCTTCCAACGAGCAGGGACTGACAAGTGTAGATGGGTTTTCTTCGACGAAGGGAACTTTGTTTTCGTCCTCATGTCGCCCCATGAATGAAATGTCGTGCATAGTTGTAATGCTTATTTCCCCCCCTCTATGGGCGTGCGTCTCTCGAACTGAAAATGGCTAGCATACGATCCGGGGACACCCAGATAACTTCCTCAGGAAAAAATCCGTTGATTTCGCCTTGTACTCGTAAGAGCAACGTGTGCAAATGTGAACGAAGGAAGATCGCGTAAAAAACATGGTATGTTTGTGTGGACGCCCTCCCGAAACATGTAGCATGCATACCGTTATCGTGCAGACGAGCACGTGGCTGTGCCAACGATTGATTTCTACAGCTCGATTCATGCTCCGCAACCCCGAACGTGCCAATGCCGGAGAGGACGGATGGTTTCCGAAAAAGGTCATCTCGAGGGCAGTCGTTGCACGTGTCGGCTCGGGAATTTTCGCACCCATTTTGTTTGTAGAGAGATCGGTCGTTTCCAATCTCGATCGCAACATGTGCGTTTCCCCAAGCTTTCACGGCTTATCCCTGGGTTGTTGGTCCGCAAGAGACACGTGTGCTCCACAAGCATAAAGGAAGAAATTGGAACCAAGGGTAGGAGAGAAAACAATACCAAAAGGTATAGTCTACTCTACTGTACAGCAAAAAAAAAAAAAAACACGCTCATCTATGGATAGAGAGGGATACAATGAGATATACTAAAGATTAAATGAATAAACGCGCGCTGCGAGCTATGATACTGTAGCTCGAGACTCACCACCCAGTCGACGGCCTGCACGATCTCCGCAATCTCCGTCGGCAGCAGCGCCGTCATCACAAACGCCTTCCCCGCGCCGTCCCCCGCCCCGAGATCGGGCGCGACACACGCCTTCGCGTACAGGCAAACCACGCGCAGCAGCGACGGATGTAGATCGACCTTGCCCCCCGGTGCCCCGCCTCTGCCGGTGCTGCTGCTGCTGCTGCTGCTGCTGCTGCTGCTGCTGCTGCTGCTGCTGCTGCCGGTTCCTGTCCCCGCGCCGAGAATGGTGGATAACACCCAGTCTCGAAGGTCGACGCGGCACCGGACCAGGAGCCCCTGGGATTTTCGTTTTGTTGGACAACGTCGTGATCGAGAGAATGTTTTGAAAAGCGAGCTGGTTGGATGCTGGACACGCTGCTCGCTTGAGAGAGGGAAACCATTCAACCATTGCAAAGAGAGAGACAGGAACGAACGGCCTGTGATTTATCATCGAGTTGTTGGAGCAGGTGGATGTAGGAAGCATCGGTGCGCTTGGGAAAGGGAAATTACTGAAAATCGGTGGCAGGAAACGTCGGCGATCGGCCTGTAAATTAACATCGAAATGTTTAAAGCAGTTGAACGTAGGAAGCATTTCCAAGTAGGAACAAGAGATCCATTATAATAAGGAGACACGAAACGCCGGAAAACGATCGGCCGGAGGTTTGGTGGAGATCCTTTGTCGGTAGGGGGTGTGCAAGATGGATGGATGACATGGAAGACACGCAGGGGGGACTTGTGGCATATCTTGGCGTCATAGCATGTAGTTTCTTGGCGTTCCTTGACCGAAAGCGGCCACCGGAGGGGGAGGGGGAGGGGGACTGGAGGTTCCAAGGGAGTCGGTGAGGTGCTGATCGAAAACATCTGGGGCTGCTAGACCGTCGTTTTTCTGCTGGTAACAGGGGAAACACAAAGGAAGCGGTCAAAAGCAACACGTCCGTGTTTCCAGAAGATACCCCCGAAGCTCGATGGTCGCTCGATTGCGACCGGTAATTCAATCCCTTGTACCCCAGACTTGTCGCACAACAACACTAAACATCCCCCGGGTGGTCCAACTTTTTTGGCGGAGAGCCCACGCGCACACATACGACAGCCCGAGAGCGAGAGTGCAGCATCAGCAAGATACCCCCGCCCCTAACACCTACCTGTTCCAGCGCCTCCTCTACGCAATCCACCGGGCATAGCCTCCATCGCCCCCCGCCCCCCGCCGCCACGATTGCGCCGCCCCACGCCGCTGTTGCTACCGCCGGTGGCTCTCCCTCTACCCCTTCCGACACGGACGGTGCCAGAGCCGAGCAAGGGGCCGCTACTGCGGCGACAACCGAGCAGCTCGGCGGTAGCGCTTTCACGCAGTCCGCAAGGGCAGCCTCGGAGAACCACCCCGCGCCCCCGGCTGCCGCCGCCACCGCCGCCGCCGCAGCCGCTGCAGCCGCTGCAGCCGCTGCAGCCTCTCTGCCGGCACCACTCCCACGGCCCCCNCCCCGCCGCCGCCGCAGCCGCTGCAGCCGCTGCAGCCGCTGCAGCCTCTCTGCCGGCACCACTCCCACGGCCCCCGCCGCCACCGGAGCCTGCCGACCATGACCGTGGCCGCACGCGCAGAGTCGGCGGCGGTGCCCCGCTAGCGTTCCCGCTGCCGCCGCCCCCCGCCAGGGAAAGCGGCGGCATGACCTCCGAGCCGCGGCGAGCGGAGGCGAGCTTGGGGCCGCCGCGGGGGGACACCGGCGGCGAGGCGGTGGCAGCGGCTGCGGCGGCGGCATCGGCAGCCGTGTTGTTGGAGGGACGCGGGGACGGAGGCGGGCGTGGGAACTCGGACTCCGAGGCGGCTAGCGCGGCGTCCCGGAGGGCGTCGAGGGCGTCCATGCCGTCGGGGCCAGTCAGCGGCGGTGTGGTGGACCCCAGCACCTCCGACACCACGTTGGCGACCGCCTCGAAACGCGCCCCACGGAGCAACAGCGCAGCGTAGAGCCCCGCACAGCAGCAGCAGCGGCGGCGTCCCCCGTTGCCGCTTTTTCTGCTGCCGCCACGGCCTGTAGTAGTCGAGCGGCAGAGGAGGAGGAGGCGACGTAGGGCAGAAGCGCAACGCCTCGCTCCTTTCTCGGCGCCCACGCCTGCCGCCGCCGTGCGACTGCCGCCGCCGTCGTCATCGACCTTCTTGTCAACGCCGCCGCTGCTGCCGACCCCGCCCGTTGCACCGCTGCCGCCGGCAACGGCGGCGGCGGTGGCGGCGGCGGCCACCCCGCCCGCGGTCAACAAGATCGAGCACACGATGATCTCCTCCAGCCTCGCTACCGCCGCCGACATCCCGATCTCGTCGTCTTGCCCCCCCCCGACAGACGTTGTAGCATCTCTTCTCGCTGCCGTCGCCGTCGTCGCGGCGGCTGCTGGGCCGGGGGCAGCAGACGGCAGCAGCAGCATAGCCTCAAGCGCGTCGGTTGGGGCGGACATGGCCGCCTGCAGGTGACGCTCGGTCAGCGCCGCCGGTCGTCCGAGGCCCACCAGCTCGCAGTAGGCGCGAAGGGCGGCGCAGAGCTCGCCGACAGGAGCAGTGGTGGCGGGAGCGGTGGTGCTTCCGGCAATGCGGTCACCGCACGCTGCCGCCGCCGCCCCGCCGCCACGGCCCACGGTCTCCCGAGAGAGGGCTTCGACCCTAGCGAGCACCGTGTCCAGGAGCTGCTCTGTGACGGCGGGAGACTTGCGGAGGTGCCTAAAGGCAAAAAAAAAACATGGAAGAAACATCGGATGAGTATACATGGCACACGCCATGTCCTCGTCGCCAAAGATATCGTAGCGAATGGAGAAACCGAACGTCCCGGTGTTGAAGGCGGTGGCATCGGTTTCAAACTCTGCGATCGGACTGAGTACTGTGATTGTCCCACACGACGACGTGGTAGCCTAGACGCACATGACAAACCACCCGCATAAAATAAAAAATCAACCACCACCACCACCGCCGTAGCATAGCGCCGGTTGTACACGGCTCACCCCCAGAACCAGTGCGAGTTCAGCCCCGCATTTCCGCCCCCTCCCACGGCAACGCCTCCGTTGTCCTCCTGCCGGTGGTGCCTCCCGTGGCCGGATCGCTTAGATAGCGACGATCCGGCGGCGGCGGCAGCGGCGGCAGCGGCGGCAGCGGCAGCGGCAGCGGCGGCGGCGGCGGCGGCGGCGGCGGCGGTGTGTTCGTCGTCCTCCCCGGAGGCGGTGGCGGCGGCGACCGCGAGCACGAACCTGTCGGCGTCGCAGAGCACCTCGCACGCCACCTTCGCGCAAACCCCGGGGAGGGAACGGCGCTTCACCTGCGGTGCGCGGGGCCATGACGTCACCGTTGCCACCGAAAAAAAAAAAAAACGATGACGGGGCCAAAGTTCACGCCGATACCGCCGGGGAAAGACACACAAACAACGAGGAAAAAATCAGGACGACGACCAAGAAGGGTAAGCCGCAACGCGGGGGACACGCGGCCTGTAATCGTCGCGGCGGTCCAGGAAACGAGAATAAAAACAAGAGTGTTTTTGATTTCTATTGCGACAGGAGATGGTCGGACGGGTTGCGGGAGGAAGGCGGCGAACAAGGAAGAGGCTTAGCAGGGTCACTCGAGAGAGGTCTTGATGATAGGTGTAAATCTGGTGTAGATAGCACAGCTTGACGCGGCTGGTGGCGTTGGTTCCCCCGGGACACGGTTAGTGAAGCGTCACGACAACCCCCAAAACACATCATCATCATCATCATCATCATCATCATCATCACCGCCAACACCATCATCATCATTACCGCCAACACCATCATCATAATGACCATCATCATCTTCAACATCATCATCATCGTCATCACCAACACAACAACAACAACAACTTGCCAAGCAAGCTTCCCGCAAAAAACAGAACCGTTCGCCAGCATATACAACACACCGCCACTCACCAGGACTCCGCGGACCTTGACGCTGGCCATGGCCCCCAGCCCGCAGAGCCGCATCACGAGCTCCTCCGCCCGCCTCGAGACATTGTGGGAGGTGAGTGTCGCGGTGATCCCCGGGGTGACGGTGACGGCGTCGCACACGCCCAGCACGATGCTGCGAGATCGGCGTGGCAGCGCAGAGAGAGAAATCACATAGTTAGATCATCGAGAACAAGAAAAAATTGAGAATTGTTTGGTAGGTTCGAAATTGAATGATGGAGAAACATGGGGTCGAGAACAAAGGGTCGAAAGAAAAATCGAGACCAAAAAGGACGTCCAGAACACGAGACCGAGAATGAAAAGATCGACAACAAAAGACCGAGAACAAAGGAAGGTCGAGCGAAAAAAATCGAGACCGAAAAGGACATCCAGAACATGAGATCGAGAACAAAAAGGGCTACAGGCACGGTAGGGTTTCCTGGCAAGAGCTCGCCACGTATGACAAGGCAAACAGCTGCTGCCATGCACGCATGATAAGTGGCCATACTGCTGCTGTACAGATACTAATGTTTGGACGGACGTCAATCCATATCACGGTACGGTATGCATACGGTATGCGGAACGAACACAACTTTTTTTGTTTGCCAAGGAACATACCGCGTGGCCAAACGATGCGGCACAACGCAAAGCACGGCACGGTACGGTACGTGATGCACGATACTTGGAGGGGGGTACACTCATGTAGACGCACGCCATACGTAGTCGCTAGACCATTGACTTCGCAATGCCGGGGACCGGCGTCACTCAACGGCACACAGCAGCAGCGGCGGTAGGAAACACGGATTGACCGACCTTTCGAGGCTGAGGGGGTCGTTCATGGCGGAGACATGGAGCAGGGACGGCGCGAATCGCGTCCGGAGCAACGCCGCCGAAGCCTCCCGCATCCTGACCCGGGGGGCGTGCGCGAGCAGCACGGGCAGGAGCATATGCAGCTCTTCCTCGAGGGACCTGGCCGGAAGACGACGGCAAGAACCCGGGGAACGTCAAAAGAAAAGTCGGACACAGCACGCGGTACGAGACGATGACATCGACAAAACCAAGGAGCGCTAAAAAGAGAAGTCGGATACAGCACGCGATAGAAGACGGCCTCGACGATGGCCATGACGACAAAACAACGGAGCGCTAAAAAGAAAAAAGGTTGGCTACAGCACGCGATACGATACGATACGACGTCGACAGCGACGCCACATGGTAAGGCAGTCGAAGACACGATGTGGGTTCCCCAACCCCAACGACTTGACCAAGACGGAAACACATCACCGCCCATCGCCACCGACAACAATAACTCTTCCAACCACGAACGAACGCTGCAACAAAACAATCACTGAGGGAGAAAAAGACCCACGATGAACACGCACAAACAGAACCACACAATACAAACAACGAAAAAATAAATAAGTACGCCATCTACCAAAACCATACCGCTGGCTCAGCAAGTCCAGGCTTTCTGACGAGCCGCCACCACCGTCTCCGCTTCGCCCTACCGCCGCCCTCCCGCCGCCGTCGCCACCCCGACCTTCTACCACCGCTGACGCAGCAGCAGCGCCTCCGCGCCCCACCGACGCGCCAACTCCCAACGAAGGGGAAGAAGCTCGCGAAACGACACCCCTGCTCGGCGACTGCCTCCCACCGCTCTGTGATTGGCCAGCCGCAGTAGCCGAGGAGGTGGCGGCGGAAGCAGTTGAGGAGCCTGGGTCGGCGGCGATGAAGTCACCTTTCCCTCGGCGGAAGGCGGACATTAGGAGCAGGAGCTCGCGCAGGACAACCTGGGGTCGGGCAGGGGGGG